GAGCGCCCTGCTTTTGCAATGTTTTGATCAGTTGCTTTTCTGAGTATTGTTTTACATGTTGAATAACCAAAGTGCCCTGAGAGAGCCCATAAATGTGAATTAATAGCACTTGGCAATCTGCACGGAGGTCCCCAACCTACTCGCTGTGCTGCCCACTAGTTGGAAGCGCCTCGTCGCCTTGCATAAAATCGCCATCGGTTCGGCCTCCCGAGTCACTGGGTTGCAGGTGCCGTGGTACACTGTCGCCTCAACCACCAATGCCATCAATAGGTGGCGTGGTTTACGCATGCCTCTGTTTAAGCATCTTGGCGGCAAGGCTTTTGATGGATCACGTAGATTTGTGAGACTTCCCAACCTCCCAGATGTGTGCACTGGCAAGTACATGGAAGGCAATCAGGTAGGCTTGTGAACTCGCCTGGATCTTTGTACGGGTTTTCTCCTGTGTTATTCTTACCCCCACGTGTAAAGCACTCCTTAACATGGACTTGTCTATAAACTTCCACATGCAGTACCTTGTTAAAAATGGGTTTTGGGACTCGGTTGAGGCTTTCCTATGTAAGCGACTTTGTCGTTATTATTGGTCATCAGTGGCTGTGATGTTTGCAACCAAAAGCGTATTCCTTGCAGAATGTCCTGCCGTCTGCAGGGAAGGTAAAACGCATGGACAGACATGGGGCAGCAGAAGCCGGCTCGTTCCAAGACTCCTGTGGCCATCATTGTTCCTTTACGCTCTTGCCATCTGTACCGCTGGCAGGATTAACATCCTTATAACGATGTCTGGTTATAGTTAACCTCATCACATCACTCGCCGGTGTAGTAAATTAAAAAAACTATAATTCTGTTATTTCGTTCAAATGTCCTTGTCGATTCTTAAGAAAGGCCTTGTATTGGGAAGTTTGGCTAATTCAATCTGTGAGTGTCATGTGAGAGGAATCTGAGTACACACAACTCTTGCTCATGAAGGGAGAACTCTCAAAGCTCCGTACAAGCTCAATAATTAATAGTTGTACTGCCATCTCCTGCCCCCCTTGCAATATCTTCCTGATCATTTTGAGTTTTTTTTTGTACCTATTTTTCGAGTAGTGGTCGTGTTTCTAAGAGCTCGTGGCTCCCGTTAAAAAAATATTGCTGCCGTCAATATTTTCTTGGGCTCACGGGTATGGAAATGTTAATGCGCTTAACAACCATGTGTGGGTGGATTGGGGTTGCGAGTAGGAGAGGAATTACCGATTGGCTGCATGTAATTTTTTTCATTATTTAGCACTCGTGCCAAATTACTGACACGACTGTGCAGCTGTGAAGGAAATTTTGCCTAAGAAGTGTCCCTGCTTTGTGTTTTTCGAGAGCATTCCGTAATTGGGGTCCACGCCGTCGTTGCTCAACCCGCCCTTGCCCCCCGACCCCATCCCTACGCCGTCGCCACCCGGCTACACTTTTCCACCCGCGGGCTGCGCGTGTGCGCGTGTGTGCGCGTGGCAGGTGGAGTACCTGGTGCGGGAGAACGTGATCCCGCCGTTCTGCGCGCTGCTCGCCGTCAAGGACCCGCAGGTGGTGCAGGTGGTGCTCGATGGCCTCAACAACATCCTGAAGATGGCGGGCGAGGAGGTGGAGACGATTGCCAGCGTGATCGAGGAGTGCGGAGGTGGGCCGGCACCAACCCTTGGCTTTTTCCCCTGTGGCCAGGAGATGCCACGGTTTATGCACACCCTTGTTGATGCTAAATAAGCCATGTTAACTGCCTGGTGTACAGGAGATCCTCATCCTGACACTTGTATATTTGGAGTTTGCATGTTCTCCCTGTGGTCCCATGGACTTTTCGCTCTGGGTCCTCCGGTTTTTCCCTCCACATTTAAAAACATGCTTTTACAGTATTTTGCTGCTATAATTTTCAACTTGATAAGCCACTTCGTTGAGCTATAATTTGTTGCCGGGTTGCATCTGAAAAAGAGCTACATAGGTCAGTGGGCCTGACCTGGTAAAATAAAAATTGTTCTCATAATTGTAGTTATCTGTGGATTCACTCTTCAACACACCGGTGGTCTGAAGTAGTGAACCATTTGTCTTTTGTCAACGTGACCATTTTTTACTGATTGGCTGTGTTGGGTGGTGGAGGGTTGCGACACATAAATAACACGATCTAACCCAAAAACCTTTATTATGAATCTGATTTTGCTGCTGCTCGTTGTGGAATCTGATAGAAGGAAACTATGGCTAGGCTTGCAGCATTGGTGGTGTGGGCAGTGATGACCTTTTGGTTTTGACAGTGAAAGTGGTTGAGTTTCAATTTTCTGCCACAAAGACACAAGCCAAAAGCCCTGGCTTGTGTATATAAAACGAGTCCCACTTTGTGGGAAGGTGGTGATGGTGGTTGTGCTGTCGGGAGAATGCCACCCTGCCATGGGAATGTCGACTAACCACCTGGCTCAGGGCCACAATTGGACACCGTGTTCCTTTAAAATAACACCCCACCCAAAGAGACAATAGCTCACAGATGCATACCAAAGCTCTGTCCGTGTTGGGTGTCCAACATGAGCTGAAAGCTTTGTTAATAAATGCGCCAATCAATCCTAACATTAAATAACACGTGGATTTAAAAACAAAATGACGTTTATTGGCCAATGGGACTTCTCTTGTGCATTGCGTTTCATGCTTTTTTAAAATAAATTCAACTTCGCACTTCCGATAAGAAGCCTGCGATCCGCATATTCTAATACATATCAAAAAGATAAGAGCTCTTTCTTTTGGGAAGCAACTTTTTCTTTCAGTAACATTCCACTTGTCCCCCTGTACAGGCCTGGAGAAGATTGAAGCTCTTCAGCAGCACGAGAATGAGGACATCTACAAGCTGGCTTACGAGATCATCGACCAATACTTTTCAGCTGATGACGTAAGCCCAAGCCCTCACGAGGCGCTCGCTGACAGCAAATTGCCCAGGTGGCGTTGTTTCAGGCTAAACGATGGGGGGTCCGCCTCCTCTCTCTCGTTTCTCCACCCCAGATTGACGAGGAGCCAGGGCTCCTGCCGGAGACCAACCAAGCTGGAACCTTCTCCTTCGACCCCTCTTCCAACATCCCCACCGAGGGGTTCAAGTTTTAAGCTGCCGTTTCACGGGGCTGCGTGTGGCGGCCGTTGCGGTGTTGTCGGGGGGCGGGGCGCTGTGGGTCGATGGTTTGGCCAAGGAGGTCACACCGTGGTGTCCTGCAGGGGCGGCTTCTTAGTTTTGTTCTTTTATTTTTCTTCTCCCTGCCCACGCCTCCTTTCACGCTCCTTTATTCCGCCACTCCCGCTCTGTCCGCCGCCGTTCCCCAACTCGCCCCAGCTGCGCGCACCACCCACCCGGCGGCTCGGTCCGCCCCACGCCTCCGTCGCCGTCGGGTGATGTCGTTTGAAGGCGACGCGAAACGATGATGGCCGTAAAAGAGACAAAATACCGTAACACAAACAAAACTGTTCAGTCAATTTTTAGGGTGGTGGATTTACTAATGAAAAGGCAAAAAAACTCGACACATTTGTGAATTTGTTTTGGCAACTTAAGAAACAACAGCAGCAACAATGAAATTCACAGCTGAGTGCTGTGGAGGGGCGTCAAAACAAGTTGGGGTTAAATTACGTAGCGATGGGGTTGCGAGCGTGCGCTTCATTCAGCATTTGCCGTGCCGGTGTCATTGGTAAACGCGCGTGGGTGAGCATTTAGATGTCGTAGCAGTCGCAGCCCTCGAAGCCACATTGTAAAAAGGTTTCACTTTGCCCACCACCTTGGTGTGGATTTTGCTTCGGAAGGATAAGGGTGGACTCGAAAGTGAATAAAATTAGAGCGTTAAATTATACACTTGTTTTTTTAATGAACTTTCATTTTGCAATTAGGTAATTGCTGTACTTAAGGCATAAACTGTGTGATAGGGGGGAGAACGACGGGCTGTTACTTTTTTCTAAATTAAAGCTACCCTACGATTCGTTGGGAGAACAGTCTATTGGATGACGTTAGCAAAACCCCCTTGTTGAGCAGAGGTGATATCGTTTTCAACATTGCTTTGCAAATTTTGTTTCACGGATGTTATTGTAGTATATATTAAATAAACAGACACAAAAACCTGAAAAATTATAAAAAAACAATCGCATCCTTTTCTTGATTTGCTCTCCATTTCTAAATTTTGCTACAACCATCGGTCACCGTTTGACGTTAATATTTTCAATGTCATCTTTCTCTGCGGGTTCTTGTGCAAAATTGTAATCAGTTGGGTTTTTTTTTTAACGCATCCGTTTAATCACTGCTCGGCACTTAAGTCAGACGTGGTATTTGCTTCATAATGGCCAACTTGTAATTTGTAACCAGGGATATGGGCATTGCTGTTCTTGCATCACCATGTTACACATTTGTGTTATGGAGTAATTGTAGGCTTTAAATTTTGCTTACAATCTTTTTTTGTTAAAAATTTAAACTGCAACAAACCTAGCATTTACATTTCTGCAGCAGTTATCATTTGTTTCCGCTTTATTGTTTTTACGGAAAGGGGGATGGGTTTGTTAAAGGCTGTCTGCTGTTCCATTGCACGTTCTCTTTGGGCTCTGCCCTGGGATTCCTCTCCAGTGTAAATGAACATTGTGCACACAAAGGAACATTGGCAAATGCCGCATTTGTACAAAACGTAAAATATTAAAAAAAGAACGAAAGTAAATAAGACTTGCTGTCGTTTCGGTTGTAAATTGACTAAATTAATTTAAAATTCTTTATTTTTGTTTTCCAGTCTTATCAGGCTGTCGTGTTGATGTAGAACCGGGCAGATGAAATGGCGGCATGCCCAAACATTTATAGGAACGCGAAAAATATATATATTAGTGTGCAAACATTTCTTCTTGGTTGTTTTCGTTGATGCATTTAAATTTTTTACAGATTTACTTGGGTTATGGACTGACCTCCCTCATGCGCATGGGCGCGTGCAGCAGTTTTTGCCTAGCAAGTAAACATTTTCACTTACAAAAACTAGTTTTCTGCTTGTGTGTATCATGGTGCACGGACAATAAAAAAACACGTACATCTGAACATCAACATGCACATTTTGACGAATATTTTCAAAAAAATTATCAAAGGAACCAATAACGTGTGATCATGATTACAATTGAAGTTAGAACCAACCGTTACTATGCAGTTTTGGAAGCAAAGAGGACTTGGCATTGGTTGTTTAGCTTAGAATCGTGAACATGTTTTCTCTACTTTTGTCTATCGAGAAATTTAAAAAACACAAAGAACAGTAATTTTTGTCGATTGGAGCATTTTGGGGTTTTTGTTTAGCGCATCGGAATTTTAGGTTGGGGGGGTATCCTCTCAGCACCTCGTGAGCGCTGCGAGTCACGGGGCAAGTTTGTTTTCGCGCTTTGTTTCTTTCGCTGCCGTGAAGGGCCGTCGTCGATGACTTTGGCATCACGCAACACGCCGGCCGCGTCTTCGCTGACGTTCCCACACCAGAGGGCAAGCTTAGCTCTTGGAACGAGCCGATAACCCGTTTATATAAAAAACAAAACAACGACAACTTAACACGTTTCATGTCAACACCTTTCAGTTTTGTAGTATTTCTGTTTCCTCCCCGCATACCCACCCTTCTTTGAGCCACTTTAAGGGACTTCTCGTCCTTGTATCGCTCGCGATACAAGATTTTTTAAAAACTTTGCAAGATTTTACTTGCGCCGAATTATGCGAATTTACACTTTATTGTTATTATTTAACAGGAAATTTTTAAAGTGGACATTTTGGCTAAGCGTATGGTGGAGTAGTTAATGGTATAATGCCCTTAAGGTGGCTCATGTGTTAGTATTGGAGCAGGCAATTTGATTTATTTTGTGCCTTTTTGACCGTAATGAGTTTATTTTTTTGTTTTTAATATGGCCGATTATAGAGCAGAATATACTGTTACATTGCTTTGAAAAATCAACCATGATAATATTTTGGAAGGAATGTGTAGCTTTTTTTGTTAATGTTCATGTAACATACAGTAATTGTCTGTTAATAAAAACAGCCATAAGTAATTTTTGAGGTCGTGTGGTATATAAATAAATACTTCACATTTTACAATAAATACTATCATGCACATGTCAATATACACGTGAATGTCTTGCCGAGTCTCAAGACCGATTTAAAATAAGTGTCTTACTCTTTGGTTCTTTCAGTAAATTTCGATTTAAAGCTTTCGTGACTGCAGGGATTCATCTTCTTGGTTCTTTCGGTAAAGTCACCTAGAATGGAAATAAAATAATGAAAATGAAACAATAAAATTCTCACGACGTTTCTTTCAGTAAAGTCAAGTAGATCGGCAAAATTATAAAAATAAAGTAAATACAAATGTCACGACGTTTCGATCGCAACACAAGCGGTCGTCATCAGAAAAAGTGGTTGGCCTATAAAGGCAAACTGTTTATAAAGGTTTGGAGATGCGCGTAGCCCAAGTGTATCAGCAGCAGCATGGCCGGGCAGCAATGTCAATGCAGCAGCAATGCCAATGCAGCAACGGTGTCAATGCAGCAGCAATGCCTAGAAAGGCAGAGATAGCACTATGAACCTGATGGACCCGAGTTCATTTCTCGGCCGAGGTGAACATCAGTGGCTCGTTATATTTGAACCGGTGATGGGGCCCTCAACGTCACACTGGTCAGTGCAGGCTGGTAAAGTCAACTCCCACGACTGACTGCTAAAGGGAAGCCTTCGTCCAGCAGTGGATTGACAAAGGGCTATAATATTAATGTATTTAAAAACACGCAAGGCATGTGGAGAAGCTCGCATTGTGGCGCGGTAGCGTTTAAAAAGTTTGAGAGCCTGCGATACAGAATTGTCTGTTGGTGCCACTACTCGACCAATTTCGAGTTGGTTTTGTTGAACCAGGCGAGACATTACCAGCAGGAGTCCTTTGCAAGGGTGACAGCTAAGTATCACCAGGTCTATGTGACCGGGAAACTCAAGGACTTCGGTCTGTGGTCATGGAGATTCCGGAGTGGGTGAATCTGTGGATCGCTCCGACTTGCACGATCAGCCGACGGTAACTCGAGATATGTATGTGTGTTGAGCTTCTTTCGCACCGTACGTAGCCAACCTTGTTCATCAGAGGTGTGGGGGGGGGGGACAACAGGATAAACAGCACTTCTAAAGAAATGCGTTTCCAGTAAAGATTTAAAAGGGCAAAGTTCCAGTGGCTTCCTAATATCAGAAGGAAGAGCGTTCCAGACGGCTGCAGAAGGTTTTGCCAGCTAATGTGATCCATACTCTTTTGGTGGTTAGGCCACGAAGTGATCTGGCCAAATCTCTGCCGTAAGGCCCTCAAGCACCCGACACAGCCAAATAAATTGTCACGTCTAAGGGCGTTTAACGGGCCACTTTTATAAAGATGATCTGGAAGTGCTAGGAAGCTGAATGTTTAGACTTCTCGTCGAGTCTCGGTGTATAATGATCAAAATCACCCCCACCCACCGACAGCAACAACAATCAACATTATTTTATGTTAGCCCCAAAACTGACGGCCTTTAGGTTCATAAAGGTTTTTTGGGTTCGAGCGCGGTAAGTATAAATGTGTCGTAACCCTCCCACCCCACAGCCAATTAGTAAGGAATTTGTCACGTTACTACTTCAGGCCACCTGTGTGTTGGCGAGTAAATCCACAACATTTACAATTTGAGTAGTGCGACGTTTCGCTGGTAATTACATCTAGCATCATCGGGCGATTTGCCAGAACTAACATTGTAAATGTTGGGGATTTACTCTCCAACACACTGGTGGCCTGAAGTAGTCAAGTGACAAATCCCTTCCTAATTGGCTGTCGGGTGGTGGAGGATTACGACATATTTATATTTACGCGATCTAACCCAAAAACATTTTAGAAATAATATTGGTCGCGAAAGCCTACGTGTTCAACTTACCTTTAGGTTGGCTCCGCTTAAAAGGAGAAGGATCGACCGGAAGGTGTTCATTGTTTCAGGGCTCGCGGTTCGCCAGAGTGTGACGCTTCAGCATACATTTGTATGTACAAAGACAAAGATCTCCCGTGTAGCCTGTACAGACTTGGGGCAAGTGCTGTTAGCGAGCACCCATGTAGGCCAGAACGGCACACGAGGGAGTGGGTGGCCAGCACCACGCCCGGCCGCCTTTGTCTCCCGAGTGGTGATGCTCACACACCGTACCAGATACTTGTATTATGGCTGAGTCCACTGCAGGGAAGCCCAGGACCGGTTCATGAATCGTCACTGGTATTGGCCGTGAGCGGGAATCGAATTCGCGTCGCCGGGTTCGTAGCGCAGCGCGCTAACCACTGCACTGCAGCTCCAACCTTAATACAGTAATCATATACTGTCGCAACAGAATGCTGGCTTGGAACATGAGCCCGAACGCCTACTCGTGACGTTCGCATTGCAGTGCAGGGCAGGCAGCAGCAGCAGCGCAAAGCTCCGCCAATTGCGAATGTTCTTCCGATTTGCGTGCAAGGACAGAGAGAAAGGACGGAGACACCGGGACACAGGCAAAGATCCCCCGCATAGCCTACATCGGGCTGTCGGGGGCAAGTGCTGTCAGCGAGCCCCTCTACCCACCAGGACGCAAAGACAAAAGACGGCGCAGGCGTCGGCACGCTGCACGCGCGTGGATCATCAGCGGACATCACTGGTGCGAAAACATCGCTCTGCAGCATCATGCATCTGGGCGTAGTCAACATTTCGCTCGCCTCTCACGGGTAAATATCTCGCCTCTGTACGCACAGCGACCCATTGTGCCTGCCTCTCTCGACCGATGCGTCTTTTTGCCGGCAGCTCGGTTTGCGCACGCGAGGTTTCTCCACTGCAACATCCACCGCACTCTTCTCGAGGAGGGGACGTTGCAGATCGACGTCGTTATCGCAATCGACAGCAACCGCATCAATCACCAGCAGACGCATTGCATTCATCGGCAATCGCAGCAGCATCAGCACTCGACGCAGCAGCCGTATCATCACCGTAAGTCGCAAAATGTAATGGCAGTTGTAGGATCATCAACCACATTATAGGCATTAGCAGCACCAGCAGCGGCCATTGTCGATCCACTGTCGGATGAAGCCTCTTCCACACCGTCTCGCCAAGGCGTGCATGGACCTGCAACGCATTCATAGGGGATGTCCAGCGGACAGGGAGACAGACATTCATGCACAGATGCACTACAATTATATTGTTCAGCATAAATATATATAAGTGGATGTCTCTCCGTGTGACTAGCAGATAATTAATCCACCGTGAACAGAGGATATTTCATTCTCTACCCCCCACACACACACCACACACACCCCCACACACCACACACACACCCCCACACACCACACACACCTACACCACACACCCACACACACCTACACCACACACACCACACACACCTACACCACACCCCCACACACCTACACCACACACCACACACACCTACACCACACACACCTACACCACACACACCTACACCACACACACCTACACCACACACACCTACACCACACACACCTACACCACACACACCTACACCACACACACCTACACCACACACACCTACACCACACACACCTACACCACACACACCTACACCACACACACCACACCTACACCACACACACACCCACCACACACCCACACACCACACACACCTACACCACACACACACACCTACACCAAACACACCACACACACCTACACCACACACACACCCACACACCACACGCACACCTACACCACACACACACCGTCCTCACAATGGCGTGGCCGTGCGTCAACCGGGCTTGCTGCCTGGCTCGCTGCTGGAACCAGCTGGACGTGGACGACATCTCAATCCCTCTCACTCACGCTACATTCGCCGAGGAATCTTTACTGCCACCAGCAAACGAAGCTTCCGCCGCCAATTCTGGCGGTGGCCATCCGGGACCCGGGCATCCTCATCCTCATCAGCAGCAGCAGCAAGGGCTGGGGGTGAGCGGTGGTGGCGGGGATGCTGCTGCTAATGCCCGTGAAGCGCCTGCGCCTGAGAAGCCATCGAGCCAAGGGGCGTCTCGCTCGGTGACCCGCAGTGACTACAGGGCGTGGAGGGTAAAGCGCGAGCCGAGCTGTAAGCCGCGCAGGGAGTACCTCCCGCCAGAAGACCCCTTCTCGAACGACACTCAGTACAAGGCGGACTTCAGGGTGTGGCCTCTACACAGGCGCGAGAAGCCACAGTGGGGTCATCATCACCACGATCAACTTCAGCAGCAGCAGCAGCAGCTGCTACCCCACCAACAGCACCACTGTCACCAGCAGCAGCAGCAAGACTCTGTGTACACGAGGCTGCTGGGTGAAGACGCCACGGGGCGAGACGGTGGAGGGATGGTGGGGCCGGGTGGCGACGGGGAGGGAGAGCCTCTTGTCAAGAAGCACGGCGCGGAGTCGAAAGCCCTCCTGGCCATGGCTCGAGAGGTCTGCATCATGCCCGTGCAGGCCACCACCAGGTGCGCGTGTGCGTCTCCTCTCCGCGTGTGCGTCTCTCTCTTTCTGTGTGTGCGTCTCTCTCTCTCTCCACGTGTGCGTCTCTCTCTCTCTCTCCACGTGTGCGTCTCCTCTCCGCGTGTGCGTCTCTCTCTTTCTGTGTGTGCGTCTCTCTCTCTCCACGTGTGCGTCTCTCTCTCTCTCTCCACGTGTGCGTCTCTCTCTCTCTCCACGTGTGCGTCTCTCTCTCTCCACGTGTGCGTCTCTTTCTCTCTCCACGTGTGCGTCTCTCTCTCTCTCCACGTGTGCGTCTCTCTCTCTCTCCACGTGTGCGTCTCTCTCTCTCTCCACGTGTGCGTCTCTCTCTCCACGTCTGCGTCTCTCTCTCCACGTGTGCATCTCTCTCTCTCCACGTGTGCGTCTCTCTCTCTCCACGTGTGCGTCTCTCTCTCTCTCTCCACGTGTGCGTCTCTCTCCACGTGTGCGTCTCTCTCTCTCCACGTCTGCGTCTCTCTCTCCACGTGTGCGTCTCTCTCTCTCCACGTGTGCGTCTCTCTCTCTCTCCACGTGTGCGTCTCTCTCCACGTGTGCGTCTCTCTCCACGTGTGCGTCTCTCTCTCTCCACGTGTGCGTCTCTCTCTCCACGTGTGCGTCTCTCTCTCCACGTGTGCGTCTCTCTCTTTCCACGTGTGCGTATCCTCTCTCTCCGCGTGTGCGTCTCTCTGGCGGCCGGGCGTGGGGATGGCCACCCACCCCCTAGTGTGCCGTGCCGGCCTTCATAGGTACTCGCTAACAGCAATTGCCCCAACAGTCTGTGCAGGCTATACGGGGGATCTTTGTCTCTGTGCGTGTCTCTCGATTTCCACTCACAGCCCTAAATGAGTACCTGGTGCGGTTGTGTCAGCATTCCCACTGATAAGTAGAGAAGTGGAGACCCGTCCAGAGTTTTGCCACCTTAGACAAAATGCTGCTGTGTTGGCTGATAAAAAAAACATCGCACGATCATTTTAATATCGTCCAAAAATCAACACGCTCTTCAACAACACGGTAACATTAGAATACATTTCTTTATACAGTAATCGATAAGGTTTTCGCCAATGGCCCTGTTTCATAGCAGTCCCCTAAAACGTCACTGTACAATATAAATATATGAATAAAAGTTTTAATTTTATGTTTTCGCGTAACGCCGCGTTGTGGACCAGCGTGTCGAGACGTACGCGTTGCGAGTCGTGCCAACGTCGCAGCGGCATTACCAGATTTAAATAATGTCATCATGCGTCTAACCACTAATAAGAATGTGTCTAACACACATTCAACCGTTCACAAATTCATCTATTCACAAGTTTATTATTCGCAAACGTGAATATTCACATGTTCAATTACGTACCATTATTTTCACCGGACAAAATACACACCAAATACCTATAAGTTAATGCCTAATTAACATTAAAAAAAACGAATCTCAATGTTAAATGGGAAAATAATATCTATGAAACGTGCAAGGCTTAGAACAGCAGGCGGCGCACTGTGCCCGTGACGTGTGGCGGCCGCGTGAACGCGCCGGGTGGCGGAGACGGCGGCAATCGCCCCGACGCTCGCAGAGCGGCACCCACTGTCATCGGTGCAAATCTTTAACTTGGCCCCGTTCATTGCACGGGCGTCGCGAGGCTGCGCTTTGCTGTGACCGAAAAATAACGCCTTGGTCACTCAGTCTCTCGTCCTTCTGTCCCTCTGACCCATTCATCCCTCTGTCTCTGACCCATCCATCCCTCTGTCTCTGACCCATCCATCCCTCTGTCTCTGACCCATCCATCCCTCTGTCTCTGACCCATCCATCCCTCTGTCTCTGACCCATCCATCCCTTTGTCTCTGGCCCATCCATCCCTCTGTCTCTGGTCCATCCATCCCTCTGTCTCTGACCCATCCATCCCTCTGTCTCTGACCCATCCATCCCTCTGTCTCTGGCCCATCCATCTCTCTGTCTCTGACCCATCCATCCTTCTGTCTCTGACCCATCCATCCCTCTGTCTCTGACCCATCCATCCCTCTGTCTCTGACCCATCCATCCCTCTGTCTCTGGTCCATCCATCCCTCTGTCTCTGACCATTCATCCCTCTGTCTCTGACCCATCCATCCCTCTGTCTCTGGTCCATCCATCCCTCTGTCTCTGGCCCATCCATCCCTCTGTCTCTGACCCATCCATCCCTCTGTCTCTGACCCATCCATCCCTCTGTCTCTGGCCCATTCATCCCTCTGTCTCTGGTCCATCCATCCCTCTGTCTCTGACCCATTCATCCCTCTGTCTCTGGCCCATCCATCCTCTGTCTCTGACCCATCCATCCCTCTGTCTCTGGGTTCATCCATCTCTCTGTCTCTGACCCATCCATCCCTCTGTCTCTGACCCATCCATCCCTCTGTCTCTGACCCATCCATCCCTCTGTCTCTGACCCATCCATCCCTCTGTCTCTGACCCATCCATCCCTCTGTCTCTGGTCCATCCATCCCTCTGTCTCTGACCCATCCATCCCTCTGTCTCTGACCCATCCATCCCTCTGTCTCTGGTCCATCCATCTCTCTGTCTCTGACCCATCCATCCCTCTGTCTCTGGACCCATCCATCCCTCTGTCTCTGACCCATCCATCCCTCTGTCTCTGACCCATCCATCCCTCTGTCTCTGACCCATCCATCCCTCTGTCTCTGGTCCATCCATCCCTCTGTCTCTGACCCATCCATCCCTCTGTCTCTGACCCATCCATCCCTCTGTCTCTGACCCATCCATCCCTCTGTCTCTCTGACCCTTCCGTCTCTCTGTCTGTCTGATCCATGTGCTTATTTACGATCCATCCATTGATTAATCTATCTATCCCATCTTTCTATGCACTCAATAAATCATCTGTCCTTTTGTCCAAATAGTAGATCCGGCCGTATGTCCTATCCATCCGTTCGTCGAACCGCCCCTTCCGTCTCTATGATCCATCCATCAATCTTTTTCCGTCTGTCTGTCCCTTCAAGGGCGCTTCAGATGTTGCCATGAAAGCCGGATAACCCCTAAACCGATCGCTGTTTTACTTACCGCATGGGGTTACCAATCGCACCGCTTAGATCCTGTGTGCTCTTTGGGTGGAATTGCCGATTAAATACTATATGTATATTTTAATTGCGACGTTGTTCATGATTTGTGTTCATGTTGCATGCTATGGTAATTAGCACAGATGCGTCAGAGCCGTGCTCCTGCTCTCCTCCGGATCAGGGCTGTTAAAACCGATTATTATTTTGCATTCCCAGCAACTGCATTACAAAAACGGTTAAACCGGTTAAAACCGGTTCACCAGTGCCCTGCACAAATCGAAGTATGTCTCGAGCAATAAACATAACAGATTCACCTTTTGAATTGAAAAACCTTGCAGTCCGGCATGGAAGAGTAGACCAATTACCCCTCCAGAGCTACCTTTAGTGGAGCCCCTGCTGCCCGACAGTGACGCGAGCGAGCAGTTGCAGGGCCGCGCCTTTACATTCGAACTGAGAATGCGTGGAAATGAGTCACGCCACGCCACGCCATGTGTACGATTTCACCGTGAATTCGTGACAAAAAATCCACTCGAATCGATTGATTCCCCCCCTCTCCCCCCCGTCCCTGTTCAGGACTTTTTTTGTCTCAGACCTGGTAACTGCTTCTGAAAACGGTTACCGGTTTTTTAACGGTTATCTTCGAACGACCTTAAGCGGGCCCTAGCAAATCTCCCACTGTTACAGTGCTGAAGAGTCCGTGATTACCAATCAGCAGGTGCGTGCAGTGAGGGTCACAAGGGCTGCGGAGAGGCACTGCGTTTGAGTGCGTGCTGCTCGCTTGGCTCTGGCGTCTCGGCAACCGGACGGCTCCTGAGCCGCGTGCGGCTCTTTAAAGACCTCGCTCCGTGACAGTTATTTATCAAGGCCCTACCACCGCCCCGTGTTCACATGCATTGCATTGCGGCTCTTGAAATATTGAATTTGTTAATGAATTCGAAAACAAACAATAAATGTGTCTCTTCTTGATAGTTTGGTTGCCGACCCCTGGCTGAGCTGGTCGAATGCCCCAGCAAGCGAGCAGCGAAGGAACGGAGGCTCACGTAATGGATTGGCTTGTCAGCTCGTTTTTTTACGTCACGTCTCTATTCATCTATTCCTCCCAAGTTCATCCCGATTTGGCAATTGGTATCATTTCGTGATGAGAAGAAGAGTCCACGAAGAACTCCCGCAGAGGACTTGCAACCCTCCGTGTTAAGAGACTGACCCACGTAAGCGGCTGCCACAGAGCTACCACTGAGATCCCATCAAGCGAACCTCTGATCACTTCCCCTACCCACCCTGCTACGGGGAGCATTGTCTGTGACGTGACACGCGTTGAGTTGCTGAGGCTGTCAAAGCGCCCTGCGGTCACCTTTGTGCCGCACAGGGGACAGCTCCCACCCGGGGGGTTACCTGCGCTGATCTGAAACGAACACGTGATAAGGTGGCGCTCATAACACACAAAGTGAATGCCACAAATGAACCAAAATACCTCGCTGATCTCGTCAATGAGTATGAACCATCATCACGCAAACTCCGGTCATCCCCACAGCAGCGGCTTTTGGTCGGCAATCAAACAAAGACGGTCACCGCATCGCGCGCTTTCAGATACGCTTATGCGCCCGTCTGGAACGCTCTTCCTTCGATATTAGGTAACCATCGGAGTAATGCACCTTTAAATTATCTAGATTGAAAAATATATTTTTTTAGAGCTGCTTTTCGCGTTTAGTTTGTTGTCCTTCCCCCGCACCTCTGATTAACACGGTTGACTACGTAGGGTGCGATAGAAGTCCAACATGCGTACTTATATACGAACGTGAAAGAAGGCCGGCCGTTGGAAGGGCCGAGAGGGGGGTGGCGCTAACCCACGTGGTTGCGCGCAGGCCGGACGCCCGGCAGGAGACGTCACCTCGCAGGAAGCGCGTGACCCCAGCGTCGTCCTCCTCCCCGGAGTCACGCCGCCCGCGAACCCCCACGACCACGACGGCGGCCCCGCGTCGTGACCTCTCGTCCCGCGCGGGGCCCCCGCCCGCCAGGCACAGCCGCTCGCCGGGGCCGCCCCCCGCCGCGGTGGCGGTGGAGAAGGGGGGGGGCGACGGCGCGGGAGCACCCGGAGGGGGGCGCGGACGGAGGGGATCGTCGAGGCGCGGCCGGAAGGTGAGCGTCTTGACGGCTACGGGCGGTCGCGTCACAATCAGAATGATTATTTGGGCTGGAGGAATCCGATGAGCTACTGTATGAAGCTCGTTTTAACCGACGGCCGATATGGGCGGTTCTGGAAGTTACAACGGCAAACGTGAGGCTGCGTGACCGCCGGAATGTAATAAAACATACTCTTTGGGTCTTTCGGTAAAGTCACGGAGATAGAAAGATAATAGATCACGACGTTTCGATCGCAACACGATTGCTTCTGTTGCGATCGAAGCGTCGTGATTTTTATGATTTGTTCTATCTACGTGATTTTACCGAAAGACCCAAAGAGTATGGATTCCTGCAGTCACGAAAGCTTCAAATCAAGGAATAAAATATGTTTATATTCACGTGGAGACGAATGCAGAAAGGAGGAATTTTTGCCCGTGTATGGCTGTATGTATATTGAACGCTCCGTGAGTTAACTGCAGGCAATGAGAGAGAGAATCGGTAGACATAACCGTGGCGTTGATTGAGATCTCCTCAACACGTGGGTGGCTCACAATGGCCGTGTGGGAGACGCCGTGCCAGGGCTCATGAGATGCCACGCGGGAGTCGCTTTCTCTCAGGAGCTCATTTTGGACGTGTCAGAGACACAGCGGTGCTGGCTGTCATAGCAATTTGGAACGTCGATGGCTTGCCTTAGAGCCACCGCACTCATTTAATTGGGGAGAAGCTTCGCCTTTGTGGTCGCCAGGTCAAGGCGAGGGGTCACCGCAGCCAACATCGTCGACGCTGCCGCACCTCGCCGCAAGCCGATCGCCGCTGAGCGGGCGGTCGAGGTTGGGTGTCGCTTGAGTGTCGAGGTCGCGCGAGGCAGCTTTGGCATCGATCGCAACGACCTCGGGCAACGTCGCCCGGCTCGGATGGTGCGGGAGCAGGAGGGGGGGCTGAGCTCTCTTCCCGCGTCCGGCTCGGAGAGGTCGGTCGCGTGGCCCCGCGGTGCTCGCGAGTTGGCTGGTGATGGTGAGCACCGGGTTCTCCTCCCTCTGAACTCCCCCCCCCCCCACCCCCACCCTGAGCAGAGTGGATCCCAGGAGAACGACGCCGCCGGGCCGGCGGCCGGGGGGACGGCCACGACGAGGGCCGGCAGCGAGAGCCCCCGACCCGTCCGCCGCCCGCCCCGCGCGGCGGGCCCCAGGTTCGAGTCCGGGTTGGGCTCCGGATCGGGGAGCGGTCCGGGTCCGGCTCCGGGTGAGGCGGCGGCGGCGGCGCCCCCGCGCCGAGCGATCGAGATTCCGTGCGGGCGGCCGGCGGCACGCGGAGGGGCCGGTGCCGCCAAGAGCGTCACCTTCGGGGAGAGGGCGGCCGAGGAGGAGGAGGCGGCGAGTGGGGCGGCGGAGAGGGGGGGCGCGGGGGGCCGGGACGAGCGAGCGGCAGCAGAAGCGGAACGGCGTGGAGGCGCCCACGCGGGAGACGGACCCCGGGGCGACGACGGGCGTGGCGGGGCCAGGGTCTGAACCCGGTGATTTGCCAGGGGGTGCAGCGGTGGGTGGAGCGGCCAACGCGGCCGGAGCGGGGTCTGGGCAAGGCAATGCAGCGGGCGGTCGAGGTGTGAGTGGAGTAGGGGGCGTGGCACTTGGAGGGCCCGGGCATGGTCCCCTAACCGGCGGTGCCGCATCAGGCGGAGTGGGGGGCTTGTCTGGGAGCGGAGTGGGGGGCGTGTCGGGGTCTGGGCAATGTCCCGTCACCACTGGTACGGCGGTGGGTAGTGGACCAGGGGGCTTGGCTGGCGGCGGAGGTGGTTGCTTGATGGGGAGCATGATCGGTGCCGGAGCAGGGGGCATTCTGGAGGGCAAGGCCGGTGGGTTTGTTGGGGCCACGGCAGGGCCTGGAGTCGCCGGCGTCAGCGATGAGGCTGCAGTCGTTTTGACGAAGTTGAACGGAGCGGATTTCTTGGGTGTAGGGGATGAGAAGGGAGACATTAATCAGGCAGAGCCCAAGAAGGCAGGGTAGCGCTGCAGGGACGCAGCAAAGTGCGTACACAGTTGTCATTTGATAGACTCGTAATACGGTAATGATTGCTTGCTTTGCCCATGAATGTCTCCTTCTCTGAGTCTCAAGACTCGTGTTCATGAGGGTCCTGCTTGGGATGTATAACCAAGCTATTCTTATATTAATGCTTTCCAACGAAGGTTGAAAACCTTAATGCACAACACCATCTGTTCATCTTTAGTGGGGGGGGGGGTCGATAACTCCTTTAAAGAAGATCCAATAGAAGCAAAACTCTCGCGTAGAGTCGCGTTGCTACAAGGGATTTACCTTCTGGGCAACTTTATCGTAGGGTTTCCCGAAACGGGGGAATAGAAACACAAAAGGCCAGCACTAGACGTAGAACAAGCCTCTTTGGCCTAGACGATGACATCACAGGGCACGCCCCTGGCGTCCATTGCAGGCGGTGCGTGGCTGGGCCTCGTTCTGGCGGCCCGGAAGGCGACGTCGGTCCCGCCAACTAAAACACTCTCGAGCCTGTTAGTTGGCGGGCGTTCCAGAACCCGTGCGTGCCGCGGGAGTTTTATTTTGTTTTCTTCTTTAAATAAGTGCCAGGGGAATGCTCATTTGTACGAAGTGTGAACCTACTTGCTGCGCTGCCTCGCGTAGGCATCTCGATGCCGCCACGGAGGTGGGCGACTCCTCACACATGACGATGATGGCTCAGTCCATAATGAGCTGGGCGTCGTAAATATACGAGTTCGTCAATTTAAACGTGGCTAATTGCCGCAATGGGGTCACGGTGAGCGATGTTCTGACCTTGCAATCCAGACGTCACTGGTTCGATTCGACCTCCGGGAGCGGCAATTGTAACAGTGGATGCAAGTTCCTTAACCCCCCTCCCCCCCCACCTCCCACCGCCTCTGTCCACCCAGCAGCACGATGAGTTCACCACAGCCGGTCGGCATGCTACGCGCGGTGGGGTGAAGTGTGGGTAGCCTCCACCCCGTCCAAGACGTCTGGTCAACGTGACAGTAGGCAAACACCTTCCATGAGCAGGCAATTGTAGGGACTGCTGGGCCTTTTTGCCCTAAAATTTCTCAAAGGTAAACGAGCCAGATCGGCCTTCACGAGTCACGTGGGCGCAGCGAGAGTGCCTGTGGGCCGCTTCCACCTTCACTGGGACTCTGCTGCGTGTGCGCAGGCCACTCGTACAAATGCCACGAACGTTGTTTAAACGTCGGGCGATATAAAGTGGTTTGTTCGGTCGTGGCCATCGGACAGCGATCGAGGCGCGCATTGCTGAAACGCAACTGCCTGTAAAAATCCGGTGCCCATTTGCCAAATGGAACCGTTTATCGATAGCACTTACACACAGCACTTATACAGGTAGATGGCACACGGAGCTTTATTGTGTATTGGACAAGGTATGGGCTTAACTTTAGCTTTAGACAACAACAACAACAGACAAATAGCTGTTGATACGAGTTCTTGACAGCGCGAGCTTCGGGGGGAGCTCGCGCTGTGGCCTTAAAGAGTCGTCTCGCGCTTCGATCGCTTGCTCGCCCATTCCTCGATCGGGCCCGCCAATGCGTGCCGCCGCTGTGACGTCACGTGTCGGTGATTGGGCAAATGCGGCCACGTGCACCTCGTGCAACGTTGGCGCGGGCGTCGTCGGTGCGTCGAGTGTGTTTGCGTGCGCGAATCATAATCGTCGTCGTCGTCGTCATCGTCGTCATCATCATCGCCATCGTCGTCGCCGTACCTGTAGTCGTCATTGCTCATGTTATTACGCTCGTTAAAAGGGGAATTGGTAATCGATTGAAGTGTCGTTTGTCATTCCGCAGACACGTTACCGCTATCGCTTGTCGATGCAGGCCGAATGCTTCTTATTAGAAGTGGGGATTTGGATTTCTGCCGCTGGCACATTCCGAATTGCTGTCTGCTCCATAGTGGCGCGTGATTGGTGCTATCGCCGATGCCAGACGGTCGCGTCGCCGTTTAGCCGTTCGGCGTGCATGCCCGGCCGGGCGTACAGGGTTTGTAGCGCCACGCGGCACCGTCCACACCTCCAGCGTAGCGATGGCTGTCGTCTGATGAAGCTAGTTGTAATTACTGGCGAAACGTCGTACATGTTGTGGCTTGGCTCTCCAACACACCGCTGTGCTGTGCTAGTAACGAATTGGCCAGGTTCTGCTTATGGGACAACCCTTACTAGTTGGCTGTGTCGGGTGGTGGCGGGTTTAACGACACAACATTTATATATTTACGTGATCTAACCCAAAAAAACCTCTATTATGGATGGCCGAATTGTCATCCGGGTCTAACCGGGTCGACCACCCGCAAGATATTTCTGCACCCGGCACACCACATCCAGTATAACTCTCGCTATGGCTGTGGCTACCGCTCACGCACCACCTGCTCCAATCAGACCGCGACCCGGAGAAGGGGCGTATCGCCATTTGTGGGCATCACTCTTGGCGCTCTAATCGACTCTGAACCGAAACGTCACCGCCGTGGTCGTCGTCACACAGCACGATCCGCATCACTCACGAAGACTCTGAACGCATCGAGCGACGCTGCGGCAATTAGCGGCGTCGCTGATAATTGGGGCCTCGGATTGCAAGCGGCAGTCGGTGAGCCACAGCGGGAGGGGACGGGCGAGGGACCTGGAGAAGCGTCTCTGGCAGTGAGGCGGGCCCGGGAGCGCGCGCGTCACACCACACCAGGGCACGCGGCAGAGGAGAGTTGACCTCCCACGCAGTGAATGGATTTGTACATTTTGAGCAGGAGGGCGCCTGGCTACCCGATTGCCGTGCAGAATACGTGGGGGAGGGTAGAGTTGAGATCAAAACGACGCCACCACCATCATCGTGATCATCATTATTCCCAGCGAGTTCTCAAGCGTTCAAGTTGCCATTCATACAAGACACACATTACATTGTTAAAACTACACAACGCTTGGGTTTAGATATTGTAGCTACTAGTTTTAATTTATGTCTGAGTCAATCTAGGCGTGGGAGGGGGGGGGTCACAGGCTACATCTGCAGTTGTTGATGGTCAGAAAAAGGAATCAAACCTGGGTATCTGTGGTCGAGGCGCAGTGCAATATTATCATAGTAATAATAATGCCAGTTATCCAGAAAAGCCTCAATTGAGTCTCAAGACTCTTTATCCAGGAGGGTCTTGCTGTGGGATGTTTGGCCAACGCCATGAATGATGAGCATGCTTGGCTTCTTCGCGTAGGGGAGGAAAGCGGTGGAAGTGGAGACGAGCCAGCACGT